TGTAGTTTACACATTGATTTCTTGTGATCATATGAAGTCTCTGAGGAGGTGAATTGAGCACTCATAGCTTAAAAGATTGGGCGACCTGATAATTTTTCTACCTGTGTTTTCATGAAGGATTTTTTTTCTGACCCTTGGGGCATTCTTTCAGTCATGAGGTCAGTGTGCCACAGTGGGCGTGTTTTCAGAACAGAGTTTGTGAAGAAGCAGAAGCAGAACTTTAGCTCAGTGGGGAGTGATTCAGGGGTCTGAGTACAATGTCATAACCCACGTTGCCTAAGCACTCTGTTGAATGGTAAGCGCTGGACATTTACCATGATGGATCATCAGTGAAATTCTTCCCCAACTGTTTCATGTCTGTTGCTTTGTTGGAGTTTCACTGTTTTGAAAACCTGTGGTTATATGATGTGATGATAAATAATATGAATCCTGCAAACAGTATTACCTTTGTTTTTTGAATGGAGAGGAGGATGACGGTAAACTCATCTCAGAGTTCATTCTTGGTGTTCAGTGCCTATTTTGACAGCGGGCATTTGAAATATTTATTTTTTGTGATCGTTATGTCTTTATATTTTTTAATCATTACTGCCAATGTCCTGCTGATTGTGGTTATCTGTGTGAACAGAAGCTTACATGAACCTATGTACATGTTTCTGTGCAGCCTGTTTGTGAATGAGCTGTATGGTAGTACAGGGCTGTTTCCGTTCCTCCTGCTTCAGATCCTCTCTGATGTTCACACTGTTTCTGCTCCTCTCTGCTTCCTGCAGATCTTCTGTGTGCACACATATGGAACTGCAGAGCTTGCTAACTTAGCCGTCATGTCTTATGACAGATATCTTGCAATATGTTTTCCTCTTCAATATCACACACGTATGAGTCCATGCAAGGTATCCATGCTCATTGTTCTAACGTGGTTTTCCTCATTTCTTGTAATCACTGTTTTGATTTCTCTGAGTGCTCCTCTGCAGCTGTGTGGGAACATCATTAACAAAGTGTACTGTGACAACTACTCCATTGTTAAACTGGCCTGTTCTGACACCACAGTCAATAACATCTATGGACTCATTTCCTCTCCTCTCGTTATCCTATGCCCTGTATCTCTGATTCTCTACACCTACATGAGGATCCTTAAAATCTGTTTTTCTGGATCCAAACAGACCCGACAGAAAGCCGTCAGCACCTGCACGCCTCACCTCGCTTCTCTGCTCAACTTTTCTTTCGGCTGCTTTTTTGAAATTCTGCAGAGCAGGTTTAACATGAACAGTGTACCCAGCATGCTGAGGATATTTTTATCATTATACTTTCTAACATGTCAACCTGTATTCAACCCTTTAATGTATGGACTGACCCTGTCCAAAATCTCTCTCACCTGCAAAAAACTACTCTGTGCTGACATGTAACACCCTGTTATTATATCCATGCTAATAGTAAAACTAACTGCAGCAAATCTTGATGTATGAACAGATTTCATGAACTGAACACAGTAAAACCTTTGATGTCTTCATAGTTAAAAAATGAAACAAAACAAAAACAGGCAAAATTCTGCAGGTGCGCTACAAATAAGAGTTTTAATATGTGGTACAGTAACTCTGGTAATCTGTTTCATTTTGAACTGTTACAGTGAGTGATGTTTAGTGGTGCAAAGGATCAAAAGTCTCATAGTTTGGATTGGATCACGTTTTTTTCATCACTGATCGGATCAATTTTCAGATCAGCAGAAAAAAAAAGAAGACAAAAATGTAACTCGCCATTTTCTTATTTAAGTATTTTTTGCGTATTAAAAAACATTCAACTCAAGACTTATTTCACGCAATTATATAAAAACAAATTAAGATGCAATATAGGGCAGTACAGGGCTTTGTATCTACCACTCCGCTGTGATATAATGAGTAGACGCGCGACGGGATGCCATAGCGTGGCTCAAGCACGTTCATCATAGTTTAAACTAGTGCTGTCAGCGTAAATCTTGTTAAAATGACATTAATGCCATAACTGCATTAACATGGCAGATCTGCGTTAACTAGTTACCGCGGATTGCCCCGTGCGTGGGCTGCACGGCGTCAATGCATCAACTAACACGTTGACTAGTTTAAACCCCTTCTTTTGCAAAACAGAATACGGTCTCCCGTCTGCAACTAAACACCCCAATAGCTTTTGTAATAGCTGTAGCCCAGTCGGATTTGGCAACGAAGGGCTGCTTAAATACCGCAAACTCCTCTGCTCCTCCACTTGGACCGCTAGCGCTGGCCATAGCTATCGCTTGACAGACTGACCACGTGCACCATACACATATTTTATCCTTCTTTTTCGAATATTCGGATCACGTGTGTGCCGAACCGCGGAGTGAGATCGGTTCGGATTACGGATCAACCGTGATCCATTGCACCACTATTGATTTTACATTACTGGTTTGTTTCAGGTTGATCATGTTGGAAAGGCAGGAAAAGTCACTGGAACAACTACACACCTCCCTTTGCCAAAGATACAGTTAGGTCCATATATATCCGGAGAATGATAGAACTTTTGTTTATTTACCTGTTTATTGAAACATATTCCAATTCAGTAATATCCATGTCCATCATATTACTGAATATAATAAACATGGACATTATCTGTAGACTCTGAGCTTTCATTTGAGGGTATCCACATTAAAACTGGATGAAAGGTTTAAGAGTTTCAGCTCCTTAACATGTGCCACCTTATGTTATTGGACAATTGGACAATTTCATGAACAGGCAGTTCTTGTCCTTATCAATTAAGCAGATAAAAGACCTGGAGTTAATTTGTGCTGTGGTGCTTGAATTTGAAAGATTTTGCTGTGAACAGACAACATGGGGTCAAAAGGAGCTCTCCATGCAGGTGAAACAAGAAAACATCTTTTTTTTCACTTCTACAATAGTAGAAGTGAAAAAATCTACAGTTTGATACATCCTGAAAAAGAAAGAAAGCACTGGTACACTGTACCATCAGCAATGCAAAAAGACCAGGACGTCCACAGAAGACACCAGTGGTGTATGTTCGCAGAAACATTTCCATGGTGAAGAGAAACCCCATCACAGCTCCACTCACATTGCTCGGAAACAGGCCCACTGGCCGGGCCAGTTAGCCGAAAAGCCAACGGATG